TATCCTATCGTTTGTAATGTGAAGAACTTGGCTGCATGTATAACCAATTTGTCAGGACAAGTTTATCTGAGCTTTTAGTAAATAGTCCATAGGATTTTTTCTTTTTATTAATTATATTCGTTTAATTCAAATAAACTTCGGAGCCAACCGAAGATACCATCCTGGTTTATCAGTTTAATTTGATATTCTCTTTCCTTTTTTCTTTTGTGGCTCTTACTGATAGCATTGCTTCCCATGGTGCATGGCTAGAAAGAGCATGCATGCAGATTGTTCTTAATTATTCATTTTTATCTAACTTTTCTTGTATAGACTGAGTTGTAGCATCTCTGCCGAATACTGTATTATTTGAATTCCTGATGAATAAATGATATTACTTGAAGTTGGTTTCAGCATATTCCGAGAGAATTCTTCTGCCTTTCTGCTTATGTGTCTGTTCCTTTTATTGTGTTCTCCTATGTTCTTTACGTATGTTTAGCTTGTTTTTTACATATGTCCAATTATGTAGCAAGATGTATTGATTCTGCGCTGATGTTATTTTCTAATTCTTCATATGTCTTAATCATTCCTTCCTAAATATGACGAAGAGATCATATTGATGGAGATACCCGGAACACTGAGTCTGGGCAAGTGTCACAGCTGCATGGGAAACTTAGAATTGCCATAGCTCTATGGTTAAAAATTGCAAGGTCTGATTAAACACTAAAAAGAGTTCTAAAAAATATTAATGTATCAGCTTCCACATTAATAATATGTGGCATTCTTTGCTTTATTAATTCAGCAAGCATTTCTTGAGCCTTTATTGTATCAAGTATTTCCTAGTGTTCATACTCCACCTTCTAAAAGCAGCTTTTTGTCATCTTTGTTTCTTAGGCATTTTCAGATATGCTTCCAAAGTAATTGTAATAGTGGTTTTCTATGCCTTGCTACTCAAAGTATGGTCAGTGGTCCAGCAGCACTGACAACATCTTGTTAGCAAAGCAGAATCTCAGGCCCCGTTCCAGAGCTGCGAAATCAGAATCTATATTTTAACAAGATTGCTAGGTGATTTGATACACATTAAATTTTAGCAAACACACATATCACATGTGGATTGTTACCATGTACGAGTGTGTGTGTGTTTGTGCGTGTTTAACAACTGAAGAGTACTTACAGTCATTCAGCTACTATGGGAATATCCTTAGAAAATGTTTTCTATTTTTAAAATTGTAAGAAAAAAAAGATAAAACACAAGCATAAATATTCTTTATTTATTGAAAGATACAAGTAAAAGACTGTTAGAAGTGGGGCTTAAAGTGATTTTTATATCTGCTAAAACTTTCACAAAAGGTTTATGAATTTTTTAAGGTCTTTATGAGAGATCTTGGTGTAAAGTCTGTTGTGGAGGAAAATTTTTTTTTTTGACCTTTTTGTGACCGGCCACACCGCGCTCAGCCAGTGAGCGCATCGCACCAGCCATCCCTATATAGGATCTGAACCCGCAGTGGGAGCGTTGCCGTACTCCCAGCGCCGCACTCTCCCGAGTGCACCACAGGCTTGGCCCATGTGTAGGAAAATTTTAATGTAGAAGTGGTTTCTGTTCTTTTTCAGTAAGGTGAATATTGAAGCCATATCTGAAATCCATGGAAAATAGTGCTACATCCTCAGCATTTCTTGTTTATTCTTTTGCAAAAGAAGTATGAATAAGGTGGTGCTCGCAAGTCAAATTAATATTCTTTTAGAATAACTTGTGGTTTGGTATCCAGATTTTGTTTCTGTGTCAAGTTTGATTACTTTAGAGATTAAAGAATTTTGGAAGTTAATTGCCTACTTCTAGTATAGAGGAACTGAAGACACTTTTATTTCCTTAATTTAAGTACAAGCTTGCCTCACTTAGGGGTAACAAATTAAGGATGTATATTGGTTGGTAAATGTTCTCTTTTTTTAAAGGTTAAATTGGGGAAATCATGCTGTTACTCTTTCATATTCCTCTTTTGGATTCATGCACATCTCTACGAATCATTATCTTCCTATTTTATTGCATAATATTCTTTAAGAAGATGCATAATGATGGCCTTTGCAAAGGGGTTTTTCTGCATTTCTTTATTATTTCTCCCTTTGAAATGACTACTGTTTTTTTTTTCTTCTTCGTTTTTGTCTTTTTTCGTGACCGGCAACGGATCGCAACCCTCAGTGTCACACCCGTACCGGACCGGGACCGGCAACAGGATTGCAACCCTCGGTGTTGCACCCGCACCTCGCTCAGCCAGTGAGCGGCCGGTCTGTATGTGGGATCCGAACCCTCGGCGGGAGCGCTGCCGCGCTTCCCAAGCGGCGCACTGTAGCAGTGCGCCACAGGGCCGGCCCATGGTTGGTAAATGTTTTGTGTAGTTTTTAGAAAGACTGAATTACATATTTTATTAGCTCAGAGTAGTTTCAATGGCTTAGTAAATGAGACTAGAAAATATACTTGTAAATATTTTTATTGCTTAAAATATTTTTAATGCTTAAAATAAAATAATTTGAGCAGATCAGTAGTATATCAGAGCCCATATAAGTCTTTTCCTTTTTATTAATACACCTGTATTTGTTTCAGTGCCATTTATAGTGGTACTGAATTTACCTAGTAACAATGTGATCCTGGGCAAGTTACTTTCTACTTTCTACTACTTTCCTTAATTTTAAGATTAGCTGATTTTTCTTTCCAGGGTTGTTGAAAGGCTTACTTGAGATAATGTAGGTTACACCCCTGACATGGGGCCTGGCACAGAAACAGTGCCCAATACGCATTATCTTCTTTACCTTTTCACTGCTTTGTTCCATTTATACATACTTATTCTAGGTTTAGCTCATATTTTAAATAAAATTTCTCTTGAGTCTTTCTTTCATTTATACTGGCTGAAGTTGAACCAAGAATGTAAACTCTGTGATGATGCAGACTTTGTTTTGATTACTGTTGTGTTTGTAGCACCTACCAAATGACCTGTGCCAGGTGCTCGAAAAGTTGTTTTTTTTTTTTTTTTTAATAAGTTTATTTCCAGTGCAGAACTAGGAAGTCAAACACTAAAATAGGAAAATACTTGACAACAGAATATTGGGGGGTGGGTTTGTTGTTGTTGTTTTACAAATGCTTTATTTTAAAGTTCAACATTATACAGTGTAATTGTTTTTCATGTCCTTTTACCAATTCCTCTTACCCCCCTCCCCCTCCCTCACCTCTGGTAACCTTAGTTCTGTCCAAAAAGTATTTGTTGAATGCATGAGTGAATACCATGCATTTGAAGTAAATTTACTTGAATAAATTTAGAGTTTGTAGTTTATATTTGCAAGACATATTTAGGAGAAATTAATTCATTCAAAAAACTTTTATTAATACTTATTATACGGCAGGTATTATTCTAGGCATTGGATGTACAGTGATACCAAAAAAAAGGTCCCTGTCCTTATGGAACTTACCTTTAACTGGGAAGAGGGATAGAGAAGAAGGGCAGTAAACCAATAAACAAATAAGTTAACAAGATAATTGGAGATAATAAGTGCAACAGTGCTGTGAGGGTATCCTGGAGAGTGCGAGCCACTACTTTAGCTAGGAGGTGTGTGTGTGTGTGGGGGGGCACTCTAAAGAGTGACATCTGAGCTGAGACAGTAGTGATGAGAAGGGGACCAGCCTTCAAACGGCCAGAAGAGCATCATAATAGAGAGAACGGCGCATGTGAAGGGCAGGAGGGACTGAGCTAAATATAGTTCGTTAATTCAGATCGTCAACTTCCAAATAAAATTACTTCATAGGGCCGAGCCCATGGCGCACTCGCGCTCCTGCCGCGGGTTCAGATCCTATATAGGATGACCAGTGCGCTCACAGCGCTCACTGGCTGAGCGTGGTGCCGCCGGTCTCAAAAAGGACAAAAAAAAAAATTACTTCATAAACAGTATGAAGAAGATGCGAAGATAATGTAAATGCTGCTTTTTGATTGATGGGCAAGGAGTACTTTCAGGGATAGCAGTGAATCAGAGTATAAGATCATCAGTAGTTAACTTCATTGCCCAGTGTTTTAAAAGTCCCCTTGTGTGTTTGTTATTCTTTAGTAAACTAAGCATGAAAATGCTCTTTGGCTGTTATTGCAAGGCTTGACTAATAATACTGGAATTTTGAGATCAAGAGGCTGGAAACCAACAAGTTTGAAATATGTGAGGTCTACAGCCTGCCTTCTCCTCCCCTATAAGTGAATTAACATTTGCTTTCTAAACTTTTCTTCTCTATCTTGTTTCTCTGTTTTTCTCTATAGTGCTAGTTTCACTTCCTACTATTAAAAAATGTGGAGCTTTCAAATTATATTTATCAAAAGGGAAAAAAGTCTCAAAGAACTTAAAATGGGATATCTCTGAAAGAAGTTTAATTTGGAATTGTAACATGAAAACTTAAGGAAATAATTTTTTGCAATTATTTTAAATGTATACTTGTCATTGCTGTTGTCAAGTCTGGTAAATGATCAGAATTCTACAGTTGCTGCTCTTAATAGAAAACTATACATTCCAAGAAATTTAAAAAAAAATAGAACAACAAAGACTCAGGGAACTTTTTAATTTACTGTCTTGGGGTGTAGAGAATTTTGTGGAGAATAATTCCAGCAAATCCTACACCTTCAGATTGATAACCTGAAAGGACAGTACACAAATAAGATCCTTCTTTCAGGAAGGATAAAACCATGTTTGCTATATACAATTTTGAGCACTGAATTTAATATAGGACATATTTCACCAAGGTGGCCTCAGCGGGTACTATTTTAAGTTAATATCTCTATTGCATATCTTTAGTGACTCAAGGCATTAATAATTTATTCAGGATGTATAGGTAAGATTTTTTGTACTTTAATGGAAAGTCTCATGCTTAATGGACTGGAGTTCTACTTGTTGGTGATTAAATGCCTAAATATATTAATATTTTAGGGTTTAGAGTTTTGCCTACAGTAATGTGTTTTGCTAATAAGAGTCCCTTTTCCCATCTTCTTTTTAATAGCAACATCATGACGACAGAGAAGAGTTTAGTGGCTGAGGCTGAAAATTCACAGCACCAACAACAGAAGGAAGAGGGTGAGGGATCCACAAACTCAGACCAACAAAAAACTCAGCTGGAGGAGGCTTCTCAAACAGCAGCTGAAGGAGATAATCAGTGTGAGCAGAAGCTGAAGTCATCTAATGGAGATACTCCTACACATGAAGACTTGACCAAGAACAAGGAGCGGACATCAGACAGCAGGGGCCTGTCACGACTGTTCTCCTCATTTCTCAAAAGGCCCAAGTCTCAGGTCTCTGAGGAAGAAGGCAAAGAAGTAGAGTCAGATAAAGAAAAAGGTGAAGGTGGTCAGAAAGAGATAGAATTTGGAACCAGTCTTGATGAAGAGATCATTTTAAAGGCCCCAATTGCAGCTCCTGAACCTGAACTCAAAACAGACCCATCCTTGGATCTTCATTCATTAAGCAGTGCAGAAACACAGGTAAAGATCTGTGAATAAGTGTAGGGAGGTATAATGAAGGCAGGTTATACACTTTATTTTTTACCTAAGAACATTTGGTTTTATTTCTTACTATTCAATGGACTTAGACATTGATAGTGATAAGTAACATGAAGCTTTGTAGCATCTGCTCTAAAGAAATTAATGTAGTCAGTGGAACCTTGATTTTTAAAAAGATATACTCTATAAATCAAAGAAAAAAATGAAAGAAAAGTATCAAATGAGTTTAATGGAACAAGTTCAAGATTTTTTTTTTTTGTCTTTTTGTCTTTTTTCGTGTCCGGCAACGGATCACAACCCTCAGTGTTGCGCCCACACCTCGCTCAGCCAGTGAGCGGGAACCGGTCTGTATGTGGGATCCGAACCCTCGGTGGGAGCGCCGCCGCGCTCCCAAGTGGCGCACTGTAGCAGTGCGCCACCGGGCCGGCCCCAAGTTCAAGATTTTTAATGAGAGGGAGAAAAAGAAAGGTGGTTTAGAGTTCATTTTGGTGCAATGATTATGAATGGGGTAGTTATCAGCAAATGTGGTCCTTTTACAGAAATCTTCATAAAAGTTGTGTGATAGAGTCAAGCCATCCAGAGGTATGTGATAGATTTGAGCCTTGCCTGCCTTATTTTGGTCATCTTAGCCAACTAGATAATATTATTATAGAATATAAGATATAAATGAGGAAGTCTAGCTCTTTCTGTCACGTGTGTAATATATATTAATCTGGGGCCTTAATTTTGTTATAGTGTAGTTAAACACGAGTTTTCATTTGTCCAGAAAGCATAGGAAAATATTAGTCCTGTAACTCAAAGTATTTTCTAGGAATCTCATCTGTTTTCAGCCTTACTATCTACAGATTAAGAGTTATTTTCTCCGTCTTCATATTTCTAAAGCACGTGAACATTATCTGCATTGTTAAAGTGTTAATTCCTGTATGTTTCTATTATAGATCTAAAGTTTGGGCTATATAGTTTTATTAGAATTTTCTAAAAATACTACATGTATTTCTAGAAATATTACTTGTATATTCAAAGTGCTCAGAAAATTTGGGATGAAGTTATAACTATGCACTTGCTGTTAGTGAAACAAGGTCAAAAACAAGATTTAGTGTAAGTTGTAGTTAAGAATGGAGGCTATGGAATCAAACTAGAGCATTCAAATCACAGAGCAGTGATAGTTTTCACTTTATCAGTTTCTTCTGTACTGTGGGCATAAAAATATCTACCTCACTTAGCTATTGTGAGGATTAAAAGAGATAAACATGTAAAGTTCTTAAGACATTGCCTCACATATAATAAACATTCAATAAATGTTAGCTATTATTATTCAGTAAATAAGCATGAATAGTAAAGGCAAAGAAACCCTACATAGTTTAATATCATTAATTTAATTTTATTTTAGAAATACCCAGAGTTAAATTACATTATTTTTCAGGAAGTCTGATCCTTTCAAGAGGTTTTTAACTGCTTTTCCCCCCTTTACTTTAGGTAGGGAAAAATCCATATCTTGTTTTAGGTGGTATTTCAATCAGAACTTGTCTATTTTGTCTAAAGATCAAAGATTTGTACTCAAGTTGAAACAGATGATAGACAAAGTTAATTTTAGATTTAACCAAAATCTCATTTATTAAGACTTAATTCAGAATTAAGATGAATTGTATGCAAATGTTTGTCTACATGTGAAGAAAAAGAAACAAATTAATATTAATAAAATTTCAAAGAGATTATTTAAAGGAACAAACTATTTTAGGCCTTTGGAAACTAGTATTTACAATTGAAATCTTTTGGATCAGAATCTTGTGGATAAATGTTTATTTGCTTAACCATATTTCTGTATGTGTAGTAGAGTTTCATTTAAGTGGTCCTTTTCTATACAGGATTTTTTTTTTTTCTTAATTTATCAATATACAATATAGTTGATTTTCGTGTCCCTTTACCAATTCCTCCTTTTCCTCCCTCCTTCTCCCCCCCTCACCCCCATCAACATCATATCTGTTCACTTGTCTTAACAAGTTCAAGGAGTTGTTGTGATTGTTGTGTCTTCTTTTTCCCTAATCCAGGATTTTATAAAAGTGAGTTTGCATTATAAGATTGTACCAGTCTTTGTCCACGGTAGCTTGGATTATTTGGAAGCCATATGTCAGTTTTTAATGTTTGTTTATTTATTAATTCAACAAATACTTATTGAAAACCTACCATGTGTGCCAGGCCGTAGGCTGGATATACCTTGATAAATAAAAACTACAATATGGTGAAGAGGTTTAAGATCATGGATCTGGTATGTGATTTATTAATTGTATGATCCTAGGCAAGGATCTTCTCTGGCCTGTTTCTCATCTGTAAAGTGGGGATAATAATAGTACTTGTATTAGTCCTTTTTCTGTTGCTATAACAGCATACCTGAAACTGGGTGATTTATAAAGAAAAATGACATTTATTACTTATAGTTTCTGAGGCTGGGAAGTCCAAAGTCCATCTGGTGGTGGCAACAGTGACCCAGGGGTCTCACATTACAAGATGGTAGAAGCAGAGAGAGAGAGAGAGAGACAGACTCTCCTCTTCTTTTAAAGCCCTCAGAACCATGCCCCTGACCACCATTTTTTTTTTCTTTTTGTCTTTTTTACTGACCGGCAACGGGATCGCAACCCTCGGTGTTGCGCCCGCACCACGCTCAGCCAGTGAGCAGGAACCGGTCTCCACATGGGATCCGAACCCACGGCGGGAGCGCTGCCGTGCTCCCAAGCGGTGCACCCTCCAGTGCGCCACCAGGCCGGCCCTAAATTTATTTATTTTTATTTATTTATTTTTTTCCTTTTTGTCTTTTTTACTGACCGGTAATGGGATCGCAACCCTCGGTGTTGCACCCGCACCGTGCTCAGCCAGTGAGCGGGAACCGGTCTCCACATGGGATCCGAACCCTCAGCAGGAGCGCCGCCGCGCTCCCAAGCGTCAGTGCGCCACCGGGCCAGCCCATGACCACCATTTTTAATCCATTCACTACTGCATGGTTCTACAATCTAATCACCTCTTTAAGGCTCCACCTTTCATTTACCATAAAAGGATTTTCCATCCTCTTAATAGTCACAGTGGGGGCTAGGTTTCTAATACAGAAAACTTGGGAACACAATTCAAGCTTCAGCGAGTTTTGGGGGTACATTATCCAATCCACTACAGTACTCATCCCACAGAATTGTTATGAGGATTAAATGAGTTCATATAAGAAATGCCTTTAGAGACATGACTGGCCCATTGTAATTACTATATAAATGTTTGCCATTATTATTATTATAAAACAGATATGGTCCCTACCCTTGTGGATTTTATAGTCTAATGGGGGAGGCAAGAAAGTGGTAAATACAAAACAATTATTTATCGTAATAAGTTATGAAGGCAACAAGCAGGGTACTGACATGAAAAACAGTAGAGTGGGGGTAGGATAGATAGGATAGCCAGTAAAGCCTCTCTAAGGCGACATGTGAGAGGGTTTGGAAGGATGGGAAGAAGCCTTGTAGACCACCTCCACTATCTAATGCAGGAGCCAGATAATAAAATCCCTTTTCCTAAATAGCAACTATGTATTCTTTTGAAATAAAAGAATTAGTGGGGTTTAGTTAAAAATCTTCCAGCAGTTTTATTATGTTGAAAGTAAGAAAATATATGACAAAATGTTGTCCCACTTACCTGTATTACTTTGGGATGACTTAATGATTACCCCCAGGAGACACAGATTTCAATCTCTCTCTTCCATCTTTGAATCTTCTATGCATTTAGCATGATTGATGCCTGGTAGAAAGGAGTTAACTGATAGGTAGTTTTTAGCCTACTGCATATATATATATATATATATATATATATATATATATTTTTTTTTTTTTAAAGATG